AGCGCCAAACAAGTCGAACTTGAAATGCGCACGCATGTTCCATGAAACCCCTCACGTGAAGCAACAGCGCGGAAGAAACCAACTTGGTATTAAAAAGCACGCTTCCGAAGGCCCCTCAAGAAGTGACAGCGCCAACCAAGTGGAGCTGGAACTGACGCTCGCAACATGAGTCCCCTCAATGAAGTAACCGCACCAACCGAGTCAAATTGAATAACTCGAGATTGACCCGGAGGAACAGCACCGGCCAAATTGAATTAACGCTCCGAGAGAGCACTTGAAGCGACTGCGCGGATCACACGAGACCCCTCATGAAGCAACAGCAGCAACGAAGTCGAACACAGACGATGACGCTCCTTTCATGAGCCCCTCATGCATGGAAGGACGGATCCAATCCAGTCTCCATCAGTTTGAAATTCCTCATGAACTGAGTCTGGCCATGAAATGACCGAGTCGTTCGAGGTGAACTGAACAAGCCATGAGACCCCTCATGAGGCAACGGCGCCAGCCAAGTGAAACTTGGTTTATAAACGCATATTCCATGAGACCGCATGGCACTTGAGCGCCAACCAAGTCGAGCCAAAGGCAAGCTTAGTTTCAGAACGCACGCTCCATGAGACCCCTCGAGGCAACAGCGCAAACCAGGTCGAACTGGAACGATGCTCGCTCCATAAGTACCCCTCATGAAGCCACCGAGCCAATCAAGCTAAGTGTACCCTACCACGAGACCCCTCATGAGCCAACAGTGCAACCAATGTCGACATGAATTTAAGTACACAACGCACGCTTTCTGAGACCCTGCTTAAGAGGCAACAGCGCCGACCCCGCCGAGCTTGAACTATATGACGCTCCCTCCATGAGGCCCCTCATGAATCAACTGAGCAACTCAAGTCTCAAGTCCATGGAGATTCCATGAGACCCCTCATGAAGCAACAGTGCCAACGAAACCGGCTTTAATTACAGAGCGCACGCTCCATGAGACCCTTCATGAGGCACAGCGAAAACAGGTGGAACTTGACTGACGCTCGCTCCACGAGTCCCCCTCGTGAAGCAGCCGAGCTAATCAACTTGAAAATACCACTGCGTGAGACCCCTCATGAAGCACAGTGCAACAAGTGCGGAAATGATTTCCACAACGCACGCTCCACAAGAGGCAACAGTGTAGACTACGACACTCCCTCCATGAGTCCCCTCATGAAACAACGGAGCAATAATCAAGTCCATGTAGACTCAGGAGACCCCTCATGAAGCAACAGCGCCAACAAAGCCGACTTTAATGCCAGAGCGCACGCTCCATGAGACCCCTCATGAGGCAACAGCGCAAACGAGGCCGAACTTGACTGATGCTCGCTCCACGAGTCCCCCGCGCGAAGCAACCGAGCTAATCAAGCGGGAAGTACCACACCATGAGACCCCTCATGAAGAAACAGGGCGAGGTGAATTACATGACGCACGCTTCATGAGACCCCCTCCTGAAGCAACAGCGCCGACCCAGCCGAACTGGAAGTATAACGCGCATTCCATGAGTCCCCTCATGAAACAACTGAGCTGCAATTAAGGTGAATACCCCACTCCATGAAACCCCTCGTGAAGCACCAGGGCAACCAGTGTGGGAATGAATTACACGACGCACGCTCCATGAGACCCCCTCCTGAAGCGTCAGCGCCGACCAAGCCGAACTGGAACCACGACGCTCGCTCCATGAGTCCCCTCATGAAACACCGGGCGGCTAATCAAGTCCAATTAAACTCCATGAGTCCCCTCATGAAGCAACAGTGCCAACAAAACTGTTTTTAATTAAACGGAGCGCGCGCTCCATGAGACACCTCATGAGGCAACAGCGCAAAGAGGTCGAACTTGACTGATGCTCGCTCCACGAGTCCCCCTCAAGAAGCAGCCGAGCTAATCAAGTTGAATGTACCACTCCATGAGACCCCTCATGAAGCACCAGGGCAACCAGTGTGGGAATGAATAACACGACTCACGCTTCATGAGACCCCCTCCTGAGGCCTTCAGCGCCGACCAAGCCGAACTGGAACCATGACGCTCGCTCCATGAGTCCCCTCATGAAACACCGAGCTAATCAAGTCCAATTAAACTCCACGAGTCCCCTCATGAAGCAACAGCGCCAACAAAACTGTTTTTAATTACGGAGCGCACGCTCCATGAGCTTCCTCATGAGGCAACGGCGCAAAGAGGTCGAACTTGACTGATGCTCGCTCCACGAGTCCCCCTCATGAAGCAGCCGAGCTAATCAAATTGAATATACCACTCCATGAGACCCCTCATGAAGCCACAGCGCAACCAGTCTGGGAAAGAAATACACGACGCACGCTTCATGAGACCCCCTCCTGAGGCTTCAGCGCCGACCAAGCCGAACTGGAACCCTGACGCTCGCTCCATGAGTCCCCTCATGAAACAACCGAGCTAGTCAAGGCCAATTAAATTCCATGAGTCCCCTCATGAAGTTTAATTACAGAGCGCACGCTCCATGAGTCTCCTCATGAGGCAAAAGCGCAAAGAGGTCGAACTTGACTGATGCTCGCTCCACGAGTCCCCCTCAAGAAGCAGCCGAGCTAATCAAGTTGAATATACCGCTCCATGAGGCCCCTCATGAAGCCACAGTGCAACCAGTCTGGGAAAGAATTACACGACGCACGCTTCATGAGACCCCCTCCTGAAGCTTCAGCGCCGACCAAG